CCTGGTGGAAGAGTATATAATTGTTCTCCCAGCCACTGTTGCATAAACGAATGAAGACATAATAGTTGCAGTAAATAAATAATTTTAAAATAAATTAGGTTAAATCGGCTCATTTTCCACAGCACACCTGATGAGTCCACTATGTGGCAGCAGATACAGTTACAATACTGACAGAGATCTTTGTGTGTCTTTTTTCAATTCCTGTTAGTATATCAGAGTTTTCAACTAAACAGGCCCATGTTTCATAAGTAAATTGTGGGTAAATAGGAACAAAAATAGTTACATTTTATTACGTGTATTGCTTGTGAAATATTTGTTTGGTATGTTGTGGGATTTTCATGTAAATTATGTGGCATGGCTCAGAAAAGGTTGGACATTTACTTGAACCAGTATTCACCAGACAAATATCTGTCAAATTTTCTTTCTATTTCTCTGATGTTGCTTTTTAAAAAACCTTATGAAACAACTAACCTAGGAATGACCTTTTAGATATTAACCAAAATATTAAAAAATGAAAGCAGTGATGTGATGAGGCTGATCTAAGCTGTGGTGACTTCACAGCTGCTCACTTCCCAAGTCTTTGAAGCTGTTGGGTTCATTGGCCTGTTAAGGTCACACAGATGCTTGTTAAGAGACACAGGCTGGTTGTTGTAATATTACCATTTCCTCCATATTTCATGAGCTTAAACAACGACTCTCTTATTACATCTTTAGGTTTTCTGCAAATCTGTTTTGAGTTTGAGCTGAATCTCCTGTCACATCTTCAGATTTTGATGTGTAGTTGCTGGTGGTGCTAGCTGAACAGATGTTTCTGATACTTATCTCCAACATCCAACGGAGGTCTTCATGGTTTACAGTTATCCATTTTACCTGCATCAAATTAAAGATGTAGGAGTTTCCTTCACAGACCAAATTGCACAATAATAGATAGATGGTTTCTGTTTCTGGGAACCACTCTTGGCTCGCGTCAGTCACGTCATGTCAGATAGCATCAACTTTGGACTGGAAAGTAGTAGTATTTCAGTTCATATCTGCCTTCATCTCTAAAATAACAAGAATTCTCTTATCACTTCCTCTCTTCCACTTAGCACTTTTTGTTGGTTTAGAATCAAAATACGATTCAAGGAGTCGACACTACTGTCAAATGTTCACAGTTTTTAATCTGATATCTATAGATTAATACGATTTATCATCATTTATTTAGCTACTGCTTGGACGGAAAGGAAAAACAACCCACAGATGTGTGTGTTTTACACAGTTCTATTTGGGATGGAATCTTTAATATGTTAAATTGCAAAAGTATAAAAATTTAGCTTCATAGTGTATTTGGATTTTAGTAAGTACTGTAAATACTTGTTGAACGCTGGTAGAACATAATGAGTTTTTTTCACTCTTTACAGAAGTTGTTGTCCCAGTCAGCTAATCACTGTCCTGTCATTCTATCTAAATATTGCATGTACTCACTCTCTGTATGTTGGAGCTTATTAAAGAACTGACTGATGCATTACTGCCACCATGTGGTTGGAAGCTGCATTATAACTGAGCATCTCATGGGTAACATAGCTCTGGTGTGTTCAGTTGAATACCTAAGCAGTCCTTTCGGGCCACAGGTGCAAAACTGAAAGTTTTTCGTGGCCCTCTAAGTGGCGCTGGCGGCCCAAGATTGAGACACAGCCCTATGGTTAAGAATCACTGGTTTAGACACTTTACACAGTAGCATGTAAAACCCAGCAGCAGGAACTGTACACCATATTTCATTTTACTCGGTTCCCATGCAGTACTTTCTGATATGTACCAGCTGGTCCACATCTGCAGATTTGCGTTTCCTGCCCTGAATGAAAAGCTGTGTCGATTTCCCCACTTGCGTGATCACCCTGATCCTCTTGCTTCCATTCTATGTCCTCTCTGCTGCTCCCGTTCTCTGAGGTCTGTAATCTGATCCTTGACCCAGCAGAACAGACACATCCAGAGCACCACAGGGCATCCAGTCTAAAGTCTTGCCCCCCTCGTCCCTCTCCTTGCCCCTCATGTTGCTGCTGCAATTCCCTTGTCACCGTCGACAGAAGATGAACAGTGGTGTGCAAACTCCTTGACTTTGGTTGGCATTTCCTTCAACGACTTCTTCACATTGATAAGAGCTCCCCGGAGGGCCAGCGGGAACAGAAGACGGAGAGCGAGGAGGGACCGCCAGTGTAATTGCTGCCATCATGTGATTGTGTGTGAAAACTCCACTTGTCAGGGTTTATCTCTTACTTGGGGATCTGTCGTGAACTGAACCAGTGGCAGAGGAGTGAGTTCTCTGGAGTTTGGATTGGATAGTCCCCAGGGATGACGAGCCCCTCCTACTGCTCTAAACCTGCCCCCCGGGAAAGCCATAAAGTGGCTGGGTAACTCTGTGGTTAAAGTGGCCAAAGTCACGACAGAAAGGATGCTCGCTCCGGTCACAGTGTGGGAATATATTCTCTCAGGAAGAGACAGGAAGACTGAGATGACGCGGAAATGGAGGAAGGAATGACTTGTTTTTGCACCATCAAAGGCGGCGGTTTGAGACCAGCGAGCTGCCCTTCAATTTGAGTCCAAGCATTGAAATCCAAATAAAGGCCCATAAGGTCTCCAAAGCCCCCTCCCTCCCACCCCGCATGTTATCACCGCACCGTAACAGTTTCCCATAAGTCACCAGCATCCAAGCGTTCACGGTGCATTTAATCTCTCCATCTGTAGCGTGCTGGCCGTGCAGGTGCCTGTGGGCTGGGGTTTTCACCACATCCAGGTGTAGTCGAGTGCAAATGGGCAGACCTGGGGTTCCACAGCAAGACGTCAGAGACGAGAAGCAATTGTCTCTTTCCAAAATATGTCAAGATGATAGATAGGTTCGATACGGAGTGCACGAGTGTGTGTGTGTGTGTGTTGGGAGAATAAAGGATGAGGCGTAAACAAGAGGCTGCTGTTCTCCTCTGATTACCAGCACAAAGGCAGCTACAGACTGTGAGGCCCTTTTAACTTACCATGTTCAACAAAGTGTGACATCAGACGTCAACAGAGTTCACAGATCAATCATCATCGTCCTATAATAGTGCTGTTAATGTCACGCTGGGTCGCCTTATGAAAGCTCCGTATCAGTATCAGTGTGAGCCAAGGTCCACAGAAAACACAAATAAGTACTAGAGCTTCTCCCACACTTCATTTGTGCAGTAATACTATTAACCTCGCAGTATTAAATGCCGTTGCATAAATGATATAATAAGTGTGTTTGTACTGTGTAAGTACAAGTGCACTGTGAAGCCACTGTGACCTTATTCTGATCGTTACAGTGAACCTATAGATACAGTATACAGTTCATATAGAAAGTCAACACACCAGTGTGAGATACTTGGCCAAAAGCCTGTCACAGTCAAACTTGCAATTACATAAAGATATTTTTATATATATAAATAACCCAAAGCTTTTGTCATAGATATTTCTCTCTATTTGCAAAGTTATATCTTAATGCAAAAGGCACAGTCCAAGTAAAACTCACAGTGGAGAAGTGGAGGCACACATTAACTCTGGTAGAATTGGATGGGCAAAAAAGAGGAAAAAAAACATATTTCTTTGTGCAGAAATATGTCCAGAAAACTACTTCAGAAGGCTGTAATGAATTTATGCATAACAAACTGCATGTGTCAAAAAATGTCAGAACAGATTAGAAATCCGAACACGACAAAACTATGCAAAAAAAAAAAAAACAACCCAAAAAACTTCCATTAAATCTTTTGAAAATGAATTCAAAGTGTAGTGTTAGGATTACATTTTGTTCAAGACTCTCAAAAGTAAAGTCAACTTTAAAAAGAAGTTTAACTAACAAATATAACCATACCCAGCTAATACTGTATGTCAGTACTAGGAGCTCTAAGACAGAAGGTTTCAATGACAAGACTTTAGTACAACTCCATCCATCAACCTTCAACTGCTTTATCATGTCAGGGGTCAAGGGGTGAGTTGGAACCAAAAGCAAAGACTCTGGGAAGTCTTATTATTCTGAGAAAATCTACCAACACACACAACATACAAACATACAAACATACAAACAAAACTCAGAAAAACAAGTCAGTCACGCTGTGAGGCAACGGTGCTCGAAGCTACAGCTCTCA